GCCTCACCGCGGCTAGCCCGAGGAAGCCCTTTGTCGGAGGATGTAGTGCCCAGCGCCAGGTGTTTGTTTACGTTCAGCCGGTGATGTCACGATGGATCTAGTGACGTCACCCGCCCATTCTCCCTTTGACGTCATGGGTTGTGTTGCCGGAAGGCATGCTTGTACACTTGACAGAATGTTTTTTTTTTTTAACGTCATTCTTCGTCCTGAGTCATTCATATCAAGGACCTGAACGCTGGGAGGTTGAGAAGTGTTAACAGAGCGGAGTGTTGTTTGTGTTGTAACGATAAGGAATTGTAGAGGGAAAAGATTATGTAACACCAAGACGTAACACTATGTAACACCAGATAGAATAGTGGGATCAGGCGAGGGAGGGGAGGAGGTGTACAGGGAAGGGGGAAGGGGTAAGGGGAGAAGGGGTAAGGGGGAAGGGGGAATGGTGGAAGGATCAGTGGGCCAATATAAGACACTAGTACTTTATCACTGGCATACAAAAATTACCTAAGACACACACACACACACACACACACACACTTTAGTTACGCGTCTTAAATGAAACCAAAACACCATCATTGCTCCTCAACACCATAATACTCTACGCATTATACCCGCCACATTTCACTACACTCTTAACCATATTCGTTTTTTATGATGAGTTTGTGTGGTAGACTATAATATTAAGAGTTAAGTTTAATCCAACTACTCTGCTACAATTGAGGTCTATTTGATAATGCACACTCATACACTCAATCACCACACCACAACTTCGATCATTTCACACACCCACACACACACGCGCACACGCCCACACACACACGCGCACACACCCACACACGCCCACACGCCCTCCATCAGCAGGAACCATCAGTATGAATTTATGAACCATTATGAGAAGGATCTGTTTAATTAGTTGGTCACCAGCTGTCACGCCCCTGGGGTTGAGAATGAGAATAATAAGGGAAGGGTAAGGGGAAGGAGGAGAAGGGAAAGGAAAGGAGGAAGGAGGGAAAGGAAAGGAGTAAGTAAAAAGGGAAGGAGGATGGAGGGGAAAGGAAGAAGAAAGAAGGAGAGAAAGGGGAAAATGGAGAGAATGATGACGAAATAGGAACAGAGAGAGAGAGGGGAAGGGTAGAAGAGGATAAGAAGCAAAAGGTTGGGAGAGAAGAAGGAGGGGGCAGGGGAACGCACACACACACCACCATTACCAACTCCGGTCCAGCACTATGGTGGTACACTGGCCTGGTCCACGAGACTATCAAATCCTTCAGTAGACTACAGCAGGAGTTCGTTATCCTCATCCGACCAACAACATACACAGATCAGATAACTCAAATGACGCTCAGCAGAAGGTAGAGTCATATACTCTTCAGGAACCCACAACACCAAAATGGATGCCCTCGCCTGGCCCTCAGAGGGAGAGACAACAGTCACGTAATAATGGATGTTAGGAGGAACTTCAACCCTAAGTCAAGAGTCAGGTCGACCTTGAAGGGCTAGGACCTGGAGGCCAGAGTCGGGGTGAGCGGACACAGAAGCAATGGTTCGGAACAAGTGGAGTGATGACCCTGCACTGTACTGGTGCCACGCCGTTAATAACACACTTGTTCATCTGCACACACACACACACACACACACTGATTGCTTCATTAAACCAATACATTACGAATAATTTTCACCCATAAGTAAGTATTAACCATGTACACTGATGTTTTTCTCAGAGAGGCTGTGTACAGCAAGAGCCTACACCCTGAACACTCTTGTACAGTTCTCCATATTTACAACATTTCCCGGAAGTGTACTGTACGGTGAACATCTTACAAACAGGAAAAATAAGAAAAACACAAAAAAAAACATAAAAAAAAATGTAATCGTCAACAGCATCACTACAGCAGATTGGTGGAATTGTTTGTTTACTTCCCGCCACCGCCTACATTGTCAACAGCGATTTAAGACAGTCAGGACAAATTTATTTACACAGGTCGAGGGAGATTTTGCATTTTTTTATCTTATTTATAATTTCTGGTATTGATATCGCCATGCTTTGATCTCTTGGATATAAACTACGGCCAAATGTATCCTGAATCACTGTAACAACCTGCCACTCCCCCGTACTACTGTATTGATTACTACGGAATCCTGTACTACTGTTCCTACCACTGTAACAGCCTACCAAACGCTTAAACCTATAGAAAATCCGGTTTCAAGCAATACAGGTGTAGGAAGCACTACAAGTGTAGAAAGCAGTACAGGTGGGTGTAGGAAGCAGTACAAGTGTAGAAAGCAGTACAGGTGGGTGGAGGAAGCAGTACAGGTGTAGGAAGCAGTACAGGTGTAGGAAGCAACTTGTGTGCCTTGGCCAAGAGTCAGGTCGACCTTGAGTGGTCACGACCTGGAGGACAGAGGCGGGGTGAGCGGACACTCATGAGACCAATGGTTCGGAACAAGTGGAGTGATGACCTCTGCACGCCTTAAATAGTACTGGCGCCAACCCCTTAATAACACACTTGTCCATCTACACACACATACGTTTATTAAGGCGACGACTTTACCACTGATACTAACTGTTATTATACGTTCATTCCTTATAGTCTTGTCATTATCGGTGTGATCATTTCCCCCATAGGTCACTGGCCATCTAATTCAACAAACCAACGATTCTAATCACCTAGTTAAAGGCATAATTACTATTCTTATGTACACACAGAGTATGTGGTGTGAGGGGCTGTGTAAGATCAGCATAATGATGGTCAGTATTCTCTTACCGTATCAAAATATTTCTTCAGGGGTACAGTAATGAAGTTATCAAACATCAGATATAGTTGGCGAACACTAACCTAACCTGTTACCAGCAGTTATCAGGCATAAATGTTGGTTCTCGACTTGTTACTAGCAGTTATGTTGGTTCTCGACCTGTTATCCATGTTGGCGAGTTATCAGGCATAAATGTTGGTTCTCGACTTGTTACCAGCAGTTATCAGGCATAAATGTTGGTTCTCGACTTGTTACTAGCAGTTATCAGGCATCAATGTTGGTTCTCGACCTGGTTCTCGACTTGTTACAGCAGTTATCAGGCATAAATGTTGGTTCTCGGTTCTCGGACATAAATGTTGGTTCTCGACCTGTTAGCAGTCAGGCATAAATGTTGGTTCTCGACTTGTTACTAGCAGTTATCAGGCATCAATGTTGGTTCTCGACTTGTTACTAGCTACAGAATATTATCGTCGTGTCCACCAGTGAACTTGTTAATGACAGGTGTTGTCTCTGTGGTATAAGAGGTGTTCCATGTCCCGTGTGTCTAAATTGTCTCTCTTTTTTATATTATAGATTTCATCAGGTAATGTCTGGTTAGATTGATGTCATGTGGCTCTTTTCATATATATTGTCATGTACTGTATGTTGTCATCTCTTAACAGTGAGTGATGTCCCTCCTTGCTACAAACAACATTGAGGAAAAGCAAAGTTGACAAGTTAAAATAATGAGTGAATAATCTAGGGGTTGAAATACGTGGATGCAGCAAGTAAGGAGCACTCAGAAGAATCACTGTTATCATGACACTAATTTAAGTTATTAGAAAGATAAGAGTATTATGTCAACCGAGTCATTTAATAACATTTATATTATAAAGGATTGATTAATATAGCTAATTTGGTACATTACATAACACAAGTAAAACACAAAAGTACAAATCTCACCAGAATATAACCTGATTATTCTTACTTTAAACATTAAATACACATACTATAAACAACACAAAAACCTGATAGAAATGGCAGCTCAGGTAACATGTCGAGGCTGCGAGGGCCAACCGCAATGAACCAGGGATTACCGCTGTAGTCCACTACCAGCAAACCATCACAACACCACCAGCAGTAGTCCGTAATACAATCCTTCGTCCACACCCCGGCAGAAGAGGCACCCCGTAGGGCGCAAAGAGACTCAGCTTACCAGGCAGACACTCTTGCCTCGATACCTCGGTCTCATAGTCGGATGGGAAACTGGTTCTGATCGGTGCTCACTGGGGTCTAGTAGCTTCGTGAAGCAGTTTCTTCTCCCGGTGTCAGGTTGGAGCAAGTGGTTGTTATGAGTGAGGAGGAGAGAGAGTCGTCACAAGTGTAATGGTGGTTGTCCCTAGAGTGTTGTTAAAGTATATTTAGGCCAAAAAAAAACAGAAGAGAACAAAAACACCGCAATCTAAAATACACCTGGATTGTGGACATGTTAAGGTGTATCTTCCCAGACCAGGTGAACCTTTGGACGGTTTCAAGGATCTTATCAGAGATGAAATCTATAAGATGACATGACTGAATTTTGGTGTGTTTAGACATCTTTTTTACACACACACAGACATCAACTCTGAAGTAATGTACTGAACTCTTTAGAATATAAACAGTTGAGTGTTACATTAATTCACAGATATATAAAATGCCACAGGAATATAGCAAAGGTCCACCGGTAAAGAGGGATAAATGTGTATCAGCAAAGAATAAATGTTTCCGCTAACAAAAGGGAAATATTTTGTCATTATCTTTCTTCACAAGGGAGAGTGAGCCATTATCATTACCTTGGGTGACACACGAGGAAGGTGTTATCGTTGCGTCCACTGTAAGGTGTGCTGGGTATATATATACCTTAACGACCGTCACCTGGTCAATCTGGTCCTGTTAAACATAGCAACCTGCGAGTTAAAAATACTTGGTTACTAAATCCATCTGCGTTTACAGGGGCTCATCATATAAACATTCTACAAATCATTACATTGAAATATTTGTTTTAATATTGTTTTACTTTGATTCCATAGTGTGTTTATTATTGTGAGTTTCCACCTGTCGAATGTAAACAAACACAGGGCTGCCACACTGCACCAAACCTGACGAGCCCCACATAAACGAACTATTGGAGGGGACTGTACATTGTTACTTTACAACATTCAACTATGAAACTGGATTCACACATAAGACATGTTGAACAAACTTTGAAAAAGTATAAATAACTCGTTGGCCACATGAACAAACACATTTTATTATTTTGATATAACATCTATTCCAATTCTATTCATAAGTGACCTCATCACTAATCTGTGAGTGATAATGACCACAATAAGCACTTTATACAACCTAATACATGTACTGTAAGTGGTTGGTAACACTGTAGTGACCTAGTTAAGAGACATGTTAGCTCCTTACATCATATTATACCAGTTAAAGAAAATATTACTAACAAAAGGCAGATAATGGTATGCTAAACTTTATTGGTCTAGATAATGAGAACTGTAATAGTGAAGATAACAGAGGGCATAACATACACCTGTGATAATAAAAATACTGATATATTGTACAAAAATAAAATTCACGCACACTGTACTGTATATAGTGTGTGTGTGTGTGTGTGTGTGTCCAGTGTCCACTCATCTCTGTAGGAGTGAGGAAAGAGACACCTGCCTGGTAGGACATCTTGACTCTACAAGATGAACCGCCATAGCCATCAGGGACCACACAGTCACAAAGGAACCACAACTAACCTATGGACCTGATGTATTATATCTTATATTGGCTGATGCTCACAAATAAAATATTCATGACGTGTACATCGAGCATCATACCAATTGTATACACCGGAATAATCTAGTATGAAGAAACAGTCTTCATTTCCGCCGTAGTCATTAGGATCGGATTCTTTCCACAATGGTGACATCAAATTGATGGGTTTGCTTGACACGTCAAGAAAGACTCCCTCTGTAGCCAGGTCAGACGCACCCATCCAGAAGGTGTCACTAACTACAAAGAAAAAAAATATCAGCACTATTAAATATTACAGTAGGATTTAAAAAGAATTATCATGAAAAAGTTGGAGAGTTACAAATAATAGACACTCAGGGCAGACAACATTCACCTTAAAACAATTTAATTATGAGGAAGACCGCCAGCCAAAATGTATTTTGATAAGAGCTAGAAGTCCTTTGTCCTGCTTGTTCTCGAGATGCTGTCAATAATAAGACTAATCTTTATGGACCTTCAACATAACAGTAGAGTTTCTTTGTGATAAAACTATAAAATGAAGCTGTCTGTCCTAAGCTTATGTCATTTTCTTGTCCATTACACAGCATCGACAGCACACAAGCCACATGGTTTGGTTACAGGTCATTTGTCATCCTAAACCATTGTATGATCTTGATATTGACTTTTGGCCCAAAACACCGCACGATAGCTGCCTTGCGTCATACAACACAAGTTGAATTATCCCCAAGAGGTCACAAGGTATCGACCACATACAGTTATAAGTTCTATGTGATCATTTACTTTCAGCATAAAACACTAACACTTGTCCCGTCTTCTACTTGTGCACCAAATTTCATTCATCAAAGGTTCACAAAGTATTGTCCCACTTAATAAAATAACAACATGCTGAAGCTCCTTTACCAATGATTTTAGTCAACAGTTCAGCGTACTTATATATTTCTGGTTATACAATAAAAGTAAAACATTAGAACCTTCCGCCATTAAGTAAATTTACTCAGTAGCTCATTATATCTGGAGTACTACCTCCTGTTTATAACGAATAACACATTTCCACATGTCAAAAATTAGCCCATTCATTCTTTTTGTCTACAGTAAACTGCAATATTATAACAACATATTTCCATGTTTCTTCAGCACTTACTTTTAAATGATTTCAACAGAGAGATGAGAGCGCGAGATTCTTGAGGGATAGCCAGGTCGCCTCCTTTGTTACGGCACCAAGTACGGGCGTCGACCCACTTGAGTTTTTCTTCCCTGTTGACGAGAAGACACTGACGCTCTAAGACGAAGAACTCCCCAGGGCAGGTTAGCAGGGACGCTGAAGAAATCAATAAAACATATATATAAAATATTAATGAGAGAAAATAAGATATAATTTGGGAAACAACAACAATTAACAAGACCATGAAAAGGAAGCTACACACACACACACACACACACACACACACACACACACACACACACACACACACACACATACACACACACACACACACACACACACACACACACACAAAACAAGTTCCAAACACTTTCGTTAATTCACATCGAAAGGTCTCGAATAATATTAGCTAGACTTAATCCTTAGCAAAAGGGGTTATATGATGAAAGATAAAACATTTGGTTTATTTCATCACGATAATATTGTCTCCATCACCAACCAACTCAGACCAGACAATGTATGGCAGCAGTAAGCATAATAAAAGTAAGGTTATAACATACTCGTACAATGTTAAATCAATACATGAACTAAACAAGGACCAAACAGTGTAAGCTGCCAATAAACCCAAAGTAAAATATGACATGACATGACATGACATGACATGACCCATCAAAACTAATGAAAACTAACTTTATACACAAAAAACGTATAAATTTGTTTGGAGTGTAGATGATTGTGTAGTTGCTGTAGTGTTGATTTATTTATGAATTACTAAAATTAGTAAAGAACATTGACAGCTTTTGGAACAGCGCTCTTCTCATCCTTCTGTTTAAAAAGGAAACAAAGATGATGTTAAAATTCATAAAGTACGGTACAGTAATTACCTTCTTAACCTCCAACTGCCAGCAAATACAATTGTCATTCATTCACTCGGGACAATACACAGTTAATATTTAATCACGCAGTACCAATAATTAATTGTTTGCTATCTAAATTCCTTCATTTCAATAAACACTTAACTTGTTTTACTGTTCTGTGAGACAATAAAATGTGATTAAAGTCTATATAGTTCTTTTAAGATAAATTACTTGTATTAGAGTCAAGTTGCCCAAGTGACCGTAAACTCTCTACTGTGGTGCTGGCATAAACGTTTCTCTCACTCTACCGCCGTAAGATTATCAGGAGTTACTACATAATATTCACAGAAAACCCGGCACAAGTCTTAGGTGAATAACAACAACAGACAGATACAGACAAAAAAGTTAAATTAAATATAAATTCTTAGGAAAATTAGATAAGGATGAACAGGTTAATGAATTCCCCGCCAACAGAGATCAACAAGATGAGTGTGGAGGAAGTTCTTCAACTGAAGTTAAGTTTAATCACTGAATATATTAAACAGGTTAACGAATTCAAAAGGGGAATCAAAATTGGCAGAAAAATCATTGGTTTAACAAAATCGTATATTGAAAGACAATGGAGACATGACTGAAGAGAACAAGATGACGTGAGAAGTTTTATACTGCAGCAAGTAAAGCAACTTACGTTGAGTCGTCTCCTGTAGCTGTGATATCTGCTGTTGTAAGCCTTCCATGGCAGACGTCACTCTCTCTAGCTGATGCTGAACGCCTGAAATTATTTTCAATGAATCAAATTGTGAAAGAATTCTACAAGATGGTCTGTGTTAGTGTGTGTAGTAATTAGAGAGGGTTAGTCTGTGTATCTTGTGAATTATTTACGGTGTGTATTAAGCCAGAGGCATCACTGACAAGGCATCATACTACATGTAAGGTGGAAGACCGTTTAGGGCAGCTTACTCCAGGCTGTACACACTTATGTCCCCACTGAAAACATAAAGGAACTCTTGACGTGTCTAATTTAAATGGTTGTAACCATGTAACAATAAAAACATCTTTTATTCGTATTTATTTTATATTTACTTACTCTTACTCGTTCGTTATTCTCTGATTCTCTTTTTTTCTGTTCCTTCTCTGTTCTTTATACTCGTGAGATGGTGGAGGTGGAGCGAGGAGAGAGAGAGAGAGAGAGAGAGAGAGAGAGAGAGAGAGAGAGAGAGAGAGAGAGAGAGAGAGAGAGAGAGAGAGAGAGAGAGAGAGAGAGTTGCTTATGGTTGAGGGAGCCTCCCTATGGTCAACCTTCCCACAGTGGGGGGGGGGAGGTAGAGAGAGGAGACTGGTGAAAGGAGGGAATAGCCAAGAATAGGAATAACATGTGATAGGTTATGTTATTTCTAATGGCTCACTGTATTACTACATACCACCAAGACACTTATAACACATCAACCTTTCTCAATAAGGGAGGAATCAATTAGGACTCTTATTAACGGTTACTGTATTTATTCGATACTTTCTATTAAGGTTTGACAATTACACTTCAAAATACAAAACCTTTGGTCCTAGCTAGTTAAACGGGACCATGCATCTCACAACAAATGGGAACTTAAGGATTTACCCAATAGAATCCACCCAAATACCTACCATGTCACCACCACACACCTCTCCCCGGTTTGAACCGGGTGCCTGCCTTGCTGGGGGCACGAACTTAGCCTTCAGCCAATCAGCAAAGCTAGGCCCATGACGCTACACTCACACGCCACTGTGATTGGCTCATGCCTCAGGCACTCCTGGTCTTGGCGGGGACACTCGTGTAGTGTGTTATGGCGGGTAATCTTTGCTTAAGCTGAATTTTCTGTATTTCTCTAAACATGGAACAACCTACTCAAAAAAAACATGACATTGTTACAGTGTAAATATATTCCACTCATCCACAACTTTTTCCAAACCAGTGTTTGTTTGTACCTTCGCTCATATAAATTTATCTAATTCAAAACCATTGTTATGTGTTCACTCCTGGTTAGATAGATTAAGTATCTTTGTTATATCACATTTGTTTATCTCGGTCGTGCTTCTCTACAGTTTATCAACGTTGTTCATCTGATAGCTGGTTTACCTATTTACATTTCCCACACTGAATACTTTACATTTTTAAACATTATGTTTCATCTGCCGTGTTTCAGACCATGAGAAAAGTTTGTTTAGGTCTTCCTATTAATTTTTTATGAGTTCTTGTCACTATGAAGACTTTGATATATCCAACTCTACATACACTGAGTGAATAGAGGGATATGACCTGAATATTATTGCTCCTTAACAATAAACACTGTTAGTAAGAGAGAAAGTGACAGACGGCATGAAGCGACAGAACAGAGTAGGAGACGGCACAACTGGCTACGGTGCTATAGACCGGATTCACTATGACTACAGTAATCAACGTTTAATTGGTGTCTATGTTAGTACATATAGTGAGTGTATAGTGTGTGTATGTTAGTGAGTGTATCTTGTGAGTATACAGTGTGTACCTGTGCTAGTATGTATAGTGACTGTACATTGTGCGTCTGTGTTCTTTAAGGAAGTAAAGTGTCAACACTCGTGTGCTTGTGTATGTGTGGTATGGCTGCAGTTTCCTCCATTCTTATGTTCTTAAGTAAAATTAGGTGGTAAGTTGGGCTCTAACCTGTGTGTTGGTTGTGGAGGGAAGTAACCAAGTCAGTCTGCTGTTGCTGCTGCTGCTGCTGCACCTCCGCCAGCGCCTCCCTCACGCTGGTGCTGTCTGCTGTGTTTTCTTGGGAGAGTTGCAACACTATTGACGACGTCTCGTTCACCGTCGACAATATGCTCACCAAGTTCTCCTCCACGGCTGGAATAATAAAGATAAACTTATCTGTTGCCTTTTTTACACAAATAGAAATATAATATGTGGGATAAACTGAGTCATAATCTACTTTACAAGACAAAAATATCATGCGGAAGCTAATAGCTTGCTTGTACTTTCCTTCTCAACATGTTTATTATGACTTACATTTCCATCAACAATAACGGGTGAACATTAAATGATACAAAGGCCGCACCAAGTGACGGTGACTTCACGTGAACACCTGACGAGACAACACGATGATGATGTCAATTGATAACATCTGACTGTGTTGTATCCCGCTGCAGTTTCCTCCATTCTTATGTTCTTATCTGTATATTCTTAAGAGAAAAACTGTGACGCTGTATTTACATTACCATGACAACAGAGGAACACTAAAACAAATGAACAAGTAAATTTTGACGATTACCATATAATCTGAAACGGTAATTGGTGATTATAAGCCTACGAACGAGGATGTGTGCGTGTGTGTGTGTGTGTGTGTGTGTGTGTGTGTCCAGTATAAGGTTTACCTTGGCATGAGGTAGTGGAGATTCCAACCCCGTGCTTCAGTTGGCTGACCAGTTCCATGATCGCCAGCTGGTTGACGAAGAGGCTTGCTCGAACTTCGTGACCATCTGGCTGGATATAGGGAGTAAATGTGTCGACCGTGTTAAGGCTTGTGGTTGGAGTGAGGAGGAGGGTGAGGGAGAGGGTGATAAGTAACAGGGGCGCCATGGTCTTTGTCACTGGCAGTAGAGAGAGGGACTGATGCTGGACAGTGGGCTGTGGCTCCTCTTATACTCTACGATAAGTGAACGCACACAAGAACGTACATGTGTTTATGGCGCAACGCACAAACACACACACACACACGCGCACACCCTCACACACACACACACACACACACACACACACACACACACACACACACACACACACACACACACACACACACACACATAAGAGCGCTAATGTGGCGCCTGGGCAGCAACATTTACAACCATTCTCCTCCTCCCATACAACACACACGCACACACACGCACGCACACACACACACACACACACACACACACAAGAACATAAGAACGTACGAATGGAGGAAACTACAGCGGGCCTATTGGCCCATAGTGGGCAGTCCCGTTTACACCCATCCTCGATCTAATCATTCATACATCCATCCAACCTATGTTTAAAGCTACCCAGCGTGTTCGAGTTAATGATGATGTTCGGTAACTTGCTCCACTCATCCACTACTCTATTATCAAACCAATATTAACCCATCTCGCGCCTAAATACATACTTGTATAATATAAAACCACACAACCAAAAACTCAAAACAAACATCTCCTGTACACTTTATCAACTCATGAAGGACATACACTCATGAACAGACAGAGGGTCGACTTAACCAGTGAGTGACGTCATACGATCATATGGTAGTACAAACAAGGTGGACGTTGTTGACACAGTTGTACTGGGTAGAGCGGGAGGGAGGAGATAGAGAGAGAGGAGGTAGAGGAACAAGAGAGATAGAGAGAGGGAGAGAGAGTAGGTAGAGGAACAAGAGAGATAGAGAGAGTTTTAGTTTAACAAATTTATTGACAAAGCTTGTAGTACAGTTTGCCTATTCTGAGTAATTCAGTCAGGTCTTGACACTGAGGATGGTATCACTTCTCACTGCCACGCAGGACAGAGGTTCACACCCAAAGAAATATATCATATTCATTAACAACTATAAATGTATAGAGGTCACATTCATATGGGTAATGTCACTGTTCACTGCCATGCAGGACAGAGGTTCGTACACAAAGAGTTGCATCATATTCATTGACAGTACATATACATATATGTACACACACACATACACATATACATACATATACATATATACATACACATATACATGTATATATATATATATACACATGCACACATACACACATACATACATACATATACGTCGGTCAGATTCATGTGGGTAATGCCACTGTTCACTGCCACGCAGGACAGAGGTTCGTACACAAAGAAGGAAATACATCACATTCACCAGCAGCATATATAGGTCAGTGGATCACATACATTGGGGTCATATTCTAATTGAAGACTAATCAGTGTGGGCTAGCAAATTTGGGATAAACAGCAAGAATGTCCTCAAGCACACCTGATTCAATGAAGTAATTACATAGTTCAAGATACAATAAGTTAGGTGGCCTGAAGTCTTTGACAGTGTCACATTCAATAATATAGTGTTCAAGTGTATGCTTTAAAGGTTTATCACAAAGTTTACATGCTGAGTGTTCCGGTATGGGTACAGCGTTACTAACTTGCCAGATGTGTCTGTATCCTAGCCTAATTCTGGCCACGACTACATCACATTGTCTGGTTCTGTCCTTATGCTGGCCATACCGGTACCTCTTGTCACGAAATTTGTCATATTTACTAATGCTACAACTGTCAGTTCTCTCTGCATTTCTCACTTCTTCTAGATCAGAGTTCATGGAGAGAGGGAGAGAGAGAGATGGTCGAGGAACAAGAGAGATAGAGAGAGAGGAGGAGAAACAGAATAAAACGAGAGAGATAGTCAAGGAAAGAGAGAGGGACACAAATGAAGAAAATAAAGGGAGGGAGAAGAACAGAGTTGGGGGCTGTAGAAGAAGAGAGGGATTATAATGCTCAGCTTACCAGGCAGACACTCTTGCCTCGATACCTCGGTCTCATAGTCGGATGGGAAACTGGTTCTGATCGGTGCTCACTGGGGTCTAGTAGCTTCGTGAAGTAGTTTCTTCTCCCGGTGTCAGGTTGGAGCAAGTGGTTGTTATGAGTGAGGAGGAGAGAGAGTCGTCACAAGTGTAATGGTGGTTGTCCCTAGAGTGTTGTTAAAGTATATTTAGGCCAAAAAAACAGAAGAGAACAAAAACACCGCAATCCAAAATACACCTGGATTGTGGACATGTTAAGGTGTATCTTCCCAGACCAGGTGAACCTTTGGACGGTTTCAAGGATCTTATCAGAGATGAAATCTATAAGATGACATGACTGAATTTTGGTGTGTATAGACATCTTTTTTACACACACACAGACATCAACTCTGAAGTAATGTACTGAACTCTTTAGAATATAAACAGTTGAGTGTTACATTAATTCACAGATATATAAAATGCCACAGGAATATAGCAAAGGTCCACCGGTAAAGAGGGATAAATGTGTATTAGCTAAAAATAAATGTTTCCGCTAACAAAAGGGAAATATTTTGTCATTATCTTTCTTCACAAGGGAGAGTGAGCCATTATCATTACCTTGGGTGACACACGAGGAAGGTGTTATCGTTGCGTCCACTGTAAGGTGTGCTGGGTTATATGTACCTTAACGACCGTCACCTGGTCAATCGGGTCCTGTTAAACATAGCAACGTGCCAGTTAAAAATACTTAGTTACTAAATCCATCTGCGTTTACAGGGGCTCATCATATAAACATTCTACAAATCATTACAATGAGATATTTGTTTTAATATTGTTTTACTTTGATTCCATAGTGTGTTTACTATTGTGAGTTTCCTTCTGTCGAATGTAAACAAACACAGGGTTGCCACACTGCACCAAACCTGACGAGCCCCACATAAACGAACTATTGGAGGGGACTGTACATTGTTACTTTACAACATTCAACTATGAAACTGGATTCACACATAAGACATGTTGAACAAACTTTGAAAAAGTATAAATAACTCGTTGGCCACATGAACAAACACATTTTATTATTTTGATATAACATCAATTCCAATTCTATTCATAAGTGACCTCATCACTAATCTGTGAGTGATAATGACCACAGTGTACATGTACTGTAAGTGGTTGGTAACACTGTACTGACCTAGTTAAGAGACATGTTAGCTCCTTACATCATGTTATACCAGTTAAAGAAAATATTACTAACAAAAGGCAGATAATGGTATGCTAAACTTTATTGGTCTAGATAATGAGAACTGTAATAGTGAAGATAACAGAGGGCATAACATACACCTGTGAAAATAAAAATACTGATATATTGTACAAAAATAAAATTCACGCACACTGTACTGTATATAGTGTGTGTGTGTGTGTGTGTGTGTCCAGTGTCCACTCATCTCTGTAGGAGTGAGGAAAGAGACACCTGCCTGGTAGGACATCTTGACTCTACAAGATAAACCGCCATAGCCATCAGGGACCACACAGTCACAAAGGAACCGCAACTAACCTATGGACCTGATGTATTATATCTTATATTGGCTGATGCTCACAAATAAAATATTCATGACGCGTACAATGAGCATCATTCCATCCGTGTACATTATTATGCCAAAGGTGGAAACAGTCTTCACTTCCACTCGGTTCGCCTACATGCCACAATGATGACCCCAAATTGATGGGTTTGTTTGACACGTCAAGAAAGACTCCCTCTGTAGCCAGGTCAGACGCACCCATCCAGAAGTTTTCATCAACTACAAAGAAAACAAATATCAACACTATTAAATTTTACAGTAGGATTTAAAAAGAATTATCATGAAAAAGTTGGAGAGTTACAAATAATAGACAACATTCACCTTAAAACAATTTAATTATGAGGAAGACCGCCAGCCAAAATATATTTTGATAAGAGCTAGAAGTCCTTTGTCCTGCCTGTTCTCGAGATGCTGTCAATAATAAGACTAATCTTTATGGACCTTCAACATAACAGTAGAGTTTCTTTGTGATAAAACTATAAAATAAAGCTGTCTGTCCTAAGCTTATGTCATTTTCTTGTCCATTACACAGCATCGACAGCACACAAGCCAGATGGTTTGGTTATAGGTCATTTGTCATCCTAAACCATTGTATGATCTTGATATTGACTTTTGGCCCAAAACATCGCACGATAGCTGCCTTGCGTCATACAACACAAGTTGAATTATCCCCAAGAGGTCACAAGGTATCGACCACATACAGTTATAAGTTCTATGTGATCATTTACTTTCAGCATAAAACACTAACACTTGTCCCGTCTTCTACTTGTGCACCAAATTTCATTCATCAAAGGTTCACAAAGTATTGTCCCACTTAATAAACTAACAACATGCTGAAGCTCCTTTACCAATGATTTTAGTCATCAGTTCAGCGTACTTATATATAAAGGTAAAACATTAGAACCTTCCGCCATTAAGTAAATTTACTCAGTAGCTCTTTATATCTGGAGTACTACCTCCTGTTTATAACGAATAGCACATTTCCACATGTCAAAAATTAGCCTATTCATTCTTTTTGTCTAAAGTTAACTGCATTATTATAACAACATATTTCCTTGTTTCTTCAGCACTTACTTTTAAATGATTTCAACAGAGACACGAGAGCGGGAGATTCTTGAGGGATAGCCAGGTCGCCTCTTTTGTTGCGGCACCAAGTACGGGCGTCGGTCCAGCTGAGTTTTTCTTCCCTGTTGACGAGAAGACACTGACGCTCTAACACGAAGAACTCCCCAGGGCAGGTTAGCAGGGACGCTGAAGAAATCAATAAAACATATATATAAAATATTAATGAGAGAAAATAAAATATAATTTGGGAAACAACAACAATTAACAAGACCATGAAAAGGAAGTTATACACACACACACATACACACACACACACACACATACACGCACACACACACACACACACACACACACACACACACACACACACACACACACACACACACACACACACACAACACACGTTCCAAACACTTTCGTTAATTCACATCGAAAGGTCTCGAATAATATTAGCTAGACTTAATCCTTAGCAAAAGGGGTTATATGATGAAAGATAAAACATTTGGTTTATTTCATCACGATAATATTGTCTCCATCACCAACCAACTCAGACCAGACAATGTATGGCAGCAGTAAGCATAATAAAAGTAAGGTTATAACATACTCGTACAATGTTAAATCAATACATGAACTAAACAAGGACCAAACAGTGTAAGCTGCCAATAAACCCAAAGTAAAATATGACATGACATGACATGACATGACATGACCTATCAAAACTAATGAAAACTAACTTTATACACAAAAAACGTATAAATTTGTTTGTAGTGTAGATGACTGTGTAGTTGCTGTAGTGTTGATTTATTTATGAATTACTAAAATTAGTAAAGAACATTGACAGCTTTTGGAACAGCGCTCTTCTCATCCTTCTGTTTAAAAAGGAAACAAAGATGATGTTAAAATTCATAAAGTACGGTACAGTAATTACCTTCTTAACCTCCAACTGCCAGCAAATACAATTGTCATTCATTCACTCGGGACAATACACAGTTAATATTTAATCACGCAGTACCAATAATTAATTGTTTGCTATCTAAATCCTTCATTTCAATAAACACTTAACTTGTTTTACTGTTCTGTGAGACAATAAAATGTGATTAAAGTCTATATAGTTCTTTTAAGATAAATTACTTGTATTAGAGTCAAGTTGCCGAAGTGACCGTAAACTCTCTACTGTGGTGCTGGCATAAACGTTTCTCTCACTCTACCGCCGTAAGATTATCAGGAGTTACTACATAATATTCACAGAAAACCGGCACAAGTCTTAGGTGAATAACAACAACAGACAGATACAGACAAAAAAGTTAAATTAAATATAAATTCTTAGGAAAATTAGATAAGGATGAACAGGTTAATGAATTCCCCGCCAACAGAGATCAACAAGATGAGTGTGGAGGAAGTTCTTCAACTGAAGTTAAGTTTAATCACTGAATATATTAAACAGGTTAACGAATTCAAAAGGGGAATCAAAATTGGCAGAAAAATCATTGGTTTAACAAAATCGTATATTGAAAGACAATGGAGACATGACTGAAGAGAACAAGAGGACGTGAGAAGTTTTATACTGCAGCAAGTAAAGCAACTTACGTTGAGTCGTCTCCTGTAGCTGTGATATCTGCTGTTGTAAGCCTTCCATGGCAGACGTCACTCTCTCTAGCTGATGCTGAACGCCTGAAATTATTTTCAATGAATCAAATTGTGAAAGAATTCTACAAGATGGTCTGTGTTAGTGTGTGTAGTAATTAGAGAGGGTTAGTCTGTGTATCTTGTGAATTATTTACGGTGTGTATTAAGCCAGAGGCATCACTGACAAGGCATCATACTACATGTAAGGTGGAAGACCGTTTAGGGCAGCTTACTCCAGGCTGTACACACTTATGTCCCCACTGAAAACATAAAGGAACTCTTGACGTGTCTAATTTAAATGGTTGTAACCATGTAACAATAAAAACATCTTTTATTCGTATTTATTTTATATTTACTTACTCTTACTCGTTCGTTATTCTCTGATTCTCTTTTTTTCTGTTCCTTCTCTGTTCTTTATACTCGTGAGATGGTGGAGGAGCGAGGAGAGAGAGAGAGAGAGAGAGAGAGAGAGAGAGAGAGAGAGAGAGAGAGAGAGAGAGAGAGAGTGAGAGAGAGAGAGAGAGAGTTGCTTATGGTTGAGGGAGCCTCCCTATGGTCAACCTTCCCACAGTGGGGGAGGGGGGGGAGGTAGAGAGAGGAGACTGGTGAAAGGAGGGAATAGCCAAGAATAGGAATAACATGTGATAGGTTATGTTATTTCTAATGGCTCACTGTATTACTACATACCACCAAGACACTCATAACACATCAACCTTTCTCAATAAGGGAGGAATCAATTAGGACTCTTATTAACGGTTACTGTATTTATTCGATACTTTCTATTAAGGTTTGACAATTACACTTCAAAATACAAAACCTTTGGTCCTAGCTAGTTAAACGGGACCATGTATCTCACAACAAATGGGAACTTAAGGATTTACCCAATAGAATCCACCCAAATACCTACCATGTCACCACCACACACCTCTCCCCTGTTTGAACCGGGTGCCTGCCTTGCTGGGGGCACGAACTTAGCCTTCAGCCAATCAGTAAAGCTAGGCCCATGACGCTACACTCACACGCCACTGTGATTGGCTCATGCCTCAGGCACTCTTGGTGAATCTGACCTATATTTAGTGTCAATGAATATGATGCATTCACTTGAGAACTGAACCTCGGCGAGGTAGGTTCTCTCTGCTCTCGAGGTACCGTGTGACCATGTTCACCTGCGACCCGGCGAAGGTCGTTAGACTGTATCCAGTCAAGCGCCCTTCGCGCAAGGAACTCAACCTCCTTGTCCTGAGGAAGTTTTTTGACTCCTCGGGAATCACGGGGGTGACAGGGGTCGTCCGCAATGACAGCGGTGACCTTATCGTCACCTTCGCGGATTGGGGAGAGGCCCAGCAATTAGAAAACACAAGACAAATCAATGGAATCGAGATTCAAGTTGAAGCCTGCCTACAGGACAACTTGGTTTTGGGAGTCATCTCCCACACAGAAATCGAACATCTCGAAAAACAAGAACTTGCCGAGCTGATCGGAGATCAGCTCTCAATAGTTAGGAAGCTAACCAGCACAGCTGCCCTGGTTGGCTTCCCAAAGGAACTTCCTAGCTCCGTTTTGCTGGGATGGGAGAAGATCCCAGTAAAACCGTACCAGCGAAGACCTACTCGTTGCTACAAATGCCAGAAGTACGGCCATCTGGCGCGGAAGTGTCGTGCTCGGGAGGTGTGTTCAAGCTGCGGGACACCCGGGCACCAGGACGCTAACTGCTTGGCGGCCGCGAAGAAGTGCGCAGCTTGTGGTGGCCCTCACTCCTCCTCCGACCGGGAGTGTCCCAAGTGGAGGGAGGAGTGCAGGGTGGCCAAGCTGCGGACTAAGGAAAGACTGAGCTACAAGGAGGCCCTCCTTGTAGTGAAAAATCAAGAAAAGAACAAGCAAGACAAGAACAAGATCAAGAAACCCGATTACATTACACTATCTTTAACATCGTTTATTGACGTGTATGAGAATATCCCAGAAGAAGACCAGGAAGAAGAATGGAAACTGTAAAGCAAAAGAAGAAACAAGAAAAGAAAGAAGTCCAACCAATCAGCTTCGGCCGAAATAGCCAAACGGCGAAGAGGCCAGTAATCCCCAACATCATTCATTTTGATGCATTCTTTGTGTATGAACCTCTGTCCTGCATGGCGGTGAACAGTGACATTACCCTATGAATCTGACCTCTATACATTTATAGCTGTTAATGAATATGATGTATTTCTTTGTGTGTGAACCTCTGTCCTACGTGGCAGTGAGAAGTGATACCACCCTCAGTGTCAAGACCTGACTGAATTACACAGAATAGGCAAACTGTACTACAAGCTCTGCCAATAAATTTGTTAAACAAAAAAAAATGGTCTTGGCAGGGACACTCGTGTAGTGTGATATGGCGGGTAATCTTTGCTTAAGCTGAATTTTCTGTACTTCTCTAAACATGGAACAACCTACTCCAAAAAAAACATGACATTGTTACAGTGTAAATATATTCCACTCATCCACAACTTTTTCCAAGCCAGTGTTTGTTTGTACCTTCGCTGATATAAATTTATCTAATTCAAAACCATTGTTATGTGTTCACTCCTGGTTAGATAGATTAAGTATCTTTGTTATATCACATTTGTTTATCTCGGTCGTGCTTCTCTACAGTTTATCAACGTTGTTCATCTGATAGCTGGTTTACCTATTTACATTTCCCACACTGAATACTTTACATTTTTTAACATTATGTTTCATCTGCCGTGTTTCAGACCATGAGAAAAGTTTGTTTAAGTCTTCCTATTAATTTTTTGCGAGTTCTTGTCACTATGAAGACTTTGATATATCCAACTCTACATACACTGAGTGAATAGAGGGATATGACCTGAATATTATTACTCCTTAACAATAAACACTGTTAGTAAGAGAGAAAGTGACAGACGGCATGAAGCGACAGAACAGAGTAGGAGACGGCACAACTGGCTACGGTGCTATAGACAGGATTCACTATAACTACAGTAATCAACGGTTAATTGGTGTCTATGTTAGTACATATAGTGATTGTATAGTGTGTGTATGTTAGTGAGTGTATCTTGTGAGTATACAGTGTGTACCTGTGCTAGTATGTATAGTGACTGTACATTGAGCGTCTGTGTTCTTTAAGGAAGTAAAGTGTCAATACACGTATGCTTGTGTATGTGTTGTGTTGCTGCAGTTTCCTCCACTCTTATGTTCTTAAGTAAAATTAGGTGGTAAGTTGGGCTCTGACCTGTGTGTTGGTTGTGGAGGGAAGTAACCAAGTCAGTCTGCTGCTGCTGCACCACCGCTATGGCCTCCCTCACGCTGGTGCTGTCTGCTGTGTTTTCTTGGGAGAGTTGCAACACTGTTGACGACGTCTCGTTCACCGTCGACAATATGCTCACCAAGTTCTCCTCCACGGCTGGAAAAATAAAGATAAACTTATGTTTCCTTTTTTACACAAATAGAAATATAATATGTGGGATAAACTGAGTTATAATCGACTTTACAAGACAAAATAATTAATATTGATAAGGATATTGTAACATTCAGGGCACAGCCAAACATGAAGTGAGAAACAGCTCCTTAAAGACTCTGGGGGCCTTTAGAACTGACCTAACACCTTAACACAACAGTAGATCATCTCTCCTCACTACCATATTCCTCCTGATGCATCATTTGTATAGAAAGTCAAATATTTATCATTAAAAACAAGAACAACATGAAAATACAAGAAACAAAAACAGCAATCACTCCTTCCTACCATGGAAGTATATCCTTAACACGAAGGGGTCCATCCTACCTAAAGCAGAGAAGACACAAACCATCATGGTAGGAAAACCACAGAAGCCGGCAGATAGAAACACGAGAGAGAGTGGACAACGCAGCGACAGGGAACAGTAGATAGCGACTGTCTCCCTGGAGTGCAGGACCCAACTGAGGAAGAAAGAGTTGTACCATCTCCTAGGTACAAGACAAGTGAGACCCCTAGTTTACACAAGGAACAACAATAATACAGAAATACTGAGACAAATCTTCAATTATGAGCATACAACATTTACTCAGAACATTAGTTCTCTGTAATTTAACATTATACACATGATAGTTGACGTTTGGTAAGAAGTTGGTAGATAAAGTATCTCTACTTGGCAATTCTCACTGATCCCACACAGGATATTATAGTAAATAAGGTGGGACCCATGAATCTGAACATGACTACCTAGACCTCATAGTGAGTGGCAGAAACACTAAGCTGGATTAAGGAAAATTACCCCAAGATTGTAGCAAACACTCCTAGATGTGAACCCAAATACCTTGTTAGCACATGTTTCCTATTTATCACTGTCCTAAATCTATCTCAGTCGGACTTTTCTATATCAACGTTGTTCATCTGATAGCTGACTTTCCTATTTACATTTCCCACACTGAATACTTTACATTTTTTAACATTATGTTTCATCTGCCGTGTTTCAGACCATGAGAAAAGTTTGTTTAAGTCTTCCTATTAATTTTTTGCGAGTTCTTGTCACTATGAAGACTTTGATATATCCAACTCTACATACACTGAGTGAATAGAGGGATATGACCTGAATATTATTACTCCTTAACAATAAACACTGTTAGTAAGAGAGAAAGTGACAGACGGCATGAAGCGACAGAACAGAGTAGGAGACGGCACAACTGGCTACGGTGCTATAGACAGGATTCACTATAACTACAGTAATCAACGTTTAATTGGTGTCTATGTTAGTACATATAGTGATTGTATAGTGTGTGTGTATTAGTGAGTGTATCTTGTGAGTATACAGTGTGTACCTGTGCTAGTATGTATAGTGACTGTACATTGTGCGTCTGTGTTCTTTAAGGAAGTAAAGTGTCAATACACGTATGCTTGTGTATGTGTTGCTGCAGTTTCCTCCACTCTTATGTTCTTAAGTAAAATTAGGTGGTAAGTTGGGCTCTAACCTGTGTGTTGGTTGTGGAGGGAAGTAACCAAGTCAGTCTGCTGTTGCTGCTGCTGCTGCACCTCCGCCAGCGCCTCCCTCACGCTGGTGCTGTCTGCTGTGTTTTCTTGGGAGAGTTGCAACACTGTTGACGACGTCTCGTTCACCGTCGACGATATGCTCACCAAGTTCTCCTCCACGGCTGGAAAAATAAAGATAAACATATCTGTTGCCTTTTTTACACAAATAGAAATATAATATGTGGGATAAACTGAGTCATAATCTACTTTACAAGACAAAAATATCATGCGGAAGCTAATAGCTTGCTTGTACTTTCCTTCTCAACATGTTTATTATGACTTACATTTCCATCAACAATAACGGGTTAACATTAAATGATACAAAGGCCGCACCAAGTGACGGTGACTTCACGTGAACACCTGACGAGACAACACGATGATGATGTCAATTGATAACATCTGACTGTGTTGTATCCCGCTGCAGTTTCCTCCATTCTTATGTTCTTATCTGTATATTCTTAAGAGAAAAACTGTGACGCAATATTTACATTACCATGACAACAGAGGAACACTAAAACAAATGAATAAGTAAATTTTGACGATTACCATATAATCTGAAACGGTAATTGGTGATTATAAGCTTACGAACGAGGATGTGTGTGTGTGTGTATGTGTGTGTGTGTGTGTGTGTGTGTGTGTGTGCAGTATAAGGTTTACCTTGGCATGAGGTAGTGGAGATTCCAACCCCGTGCTTCAGTTGGCTGACCAGTTCCATGATCGCCAGCTGGTTGACGAAGAGGCTTGCTCGAACTTCGTGACCATCTGGCTGGATATAGGGAGTAACTGTGTCGACCGTGTTAAGGCTTGTGGTTGGAGTGAGGAGGAGGGTGAGGGAGAGGGTGATAAGTAACAGGGGCGCCATGGTCTTTGTCACTGGCAGTAGAGAGAGGGACTGATGCTGGACAGTGGGCTGTGGCTTCTCTTATACTCAACGATAAGTGAATGCGTACATGAACGTACGTGTGTTTTTGGTGCAACACACACACACACACACACACACACACACAAAGGCTCTTTCAGGGTTAGTGAACAGATCCGTGGGCAAGAACGTGCGTGTTTGTGTGCGTGTGTGTGGGGGGGAGGGAAGGGGGGTGGATATATGCAAAAATAAAGCTGCACTCAAACACTCTGACGCAGGCACACTTAAACACAATTTTGCAGAAGCATATTGCCGCGATCACATATACCTGTACATTGACAGAGATATAGCAACACCATCAAGGGTTAATACACACACACACACACACACACACACGTACAAGCTCAGTCAACGAGAAACACTTATCGCCATGTGAAATTATTTATTTAAACCATAAATCAATATACAAGACACTGAACGCTTCTGAAACTGATTGAGAGACATATTTCATCCCAGAGGGGGCGAGGGAGTTGAGGGCGAGGGAGTGGAGGGGTGAGGGAGTTGAGGGGGTGAGGGAAAGGAGGGAGTTGAGGGGTGAGGGAGTTGAGGGGTGAGGGAGTTGAGGGGGGCGAGGGAGTTGGAGGGGCGAGGGAGTGGAGGGGGTGAAGGGAATTGAGGGGGGTGGAGGGGAGTTGGAGTGGGTGAGGGGAGTTGGAGGGGTGAGGAGTTGGAGGGGTGAGAGAGTTGAGGGCCGAGAGGGTTCAGGAGCGAATGGGGTTCAGGGGCGAGAGGGTCTAGGGGCGAGGGGGTTCAAGGGCGAGGAGGGGTCTTAGGGGCGAGGGTTCAGGGGGCGAGAGGGTTCAGGGGCGAGGGGGGGCGAGAGGGTTCAGGGGAAGAGAAGGTTCAGGGGCGAGAAGGTTCAGGGAGCGAGGGGTCTTAGGGGCGAGGGCTCAGGGGGCGAGAGGGTTCAGGAGCGAGGGGCTCCAGGGGGCGAGGGGTTTAGGGGCGAGACTTCTGGGGGCGAGAGGGCTCAGGGGGCGAGAGGGTTCAGGGAGCGAGGGGGTTCAGGGGGCGAGGGGTTAGGGGCGAGAGGGTTCCGGGGGGCGAGGGGGGGTTCAAGGGGCGAGAGGGTCTAGGGCGAGGGGGGTTGAGGGGGCGAGAGGGGCCTCAGGGGCGAGAGGGTTCAGGAGCTGAGGGGTTCAGGGGGCGAGTGGGTTTAGGGGGCGAGAGGGTTCCGGGGGCGAGGGGGTTCCTGCCATTATAGGACACTGGGAGTACTCGTGATGAGGATCAGAAACATCAACACAAAGCATACACCAGAACCTTCTGTGGTGGATTAGATATAGTGAATGAAAGATGATCAAATACAAACTCGAACAATGAGTGAAAGCCAGCGGTCATGAAGCGGTGTGGTGGTGGTGGCAGCGGTCATGAAGCGGTGTGGTGGTGGTGGCAGCGGTCATGAAGCGGCATGGTGGTGGTGGCAGCGGTCATGAAGCGGCATGGTGGTGGGTGCGTTGGGTCGCGAAGCGGCATGGTGGTGGTGGCAGCAATGGGCGAAGCGGTGTGGTGGTGGTGGCAGCGGTCATGAAGCGGCATGGTGGTGGTGGCAGCGGTCATGAAGCGGCATGGTGGTGGTGGCAGCGGTCATGAAGCGGCATGGTGGTGGTGGCAGCGGTCATGAAGCGGTGTGGTGGTACATAAGAACATAAGAAAATAAGGAGTGTGCAACAGGCCGATTGGCCTGTGCATGGCAGCTCCTGTCGAGAGGTACAGCTACCCTCTATCATCCATGAATCTGTCCAGCCTCCTTTTAAAACTTTCCAGTATAAGCAGTTGCTGGTGATGTCAGTAGTCATTAGAAAATATGTGTGAGTGGTGAAGTCATCGACACCATCTCAGTAGTGAGGTTATCGACACCATCCCGGTGGGCTGCGGCAGTTCAAGGTAACCCCACTGTCTGTACACCATAACGCACCTGCTAATTGCCTTCGACCTCACCTGTCGTCAAAACCCTCCAATGAAGCCTTTGAGAGAGCTTCACCCTCACCTACCGCTGCTTTGATCTGGTTCATTTAGCGTGACCATGGAGACTTGGGCTGCGGGATTTATAAACGACGGATCTCTCCATTACACGATAAAAACCTCTGTGTAATTCATAAACAAATATATCTGGATCATGTATAGACGATATAATCCATCACGGTTTGTTTACAGATCGTAGACCTCCACGTAGTAGAAAATAGCTTTATAGATAACAGATGAGACAGTTCCCGTTGTAGTGTTATAGAACATAATTGTTTGATTATAGACAGTATAATCCAACATTATCCCATTAAAGACGATATAAATCTACAGTTAATGAGAGGAGAGAGACCAAGGCTTAGCTGGTGATCCATAAACACTCGCAGCGGGGTGTTGAACTCCACCTCGCCAGGGTTCAAGATGTTTCACAACCTCGTTATCACAAGAAGGTGTCGGGGTTATTAGCTCTAACTCACGCCATCTGTCCCTGGAGATCCTCTGACTCCTTCCCCACACCTCCTCACCAAGACCTCTTC